CCAAAAAGGGTTTTCCCCAAACGGTTGCCAGAAAGTTGAAAGCATACTACTGTCCAAAATGTTTTGGTCTGCTGAAGCATTTAGATTTCCCCTCACTGGAACTGAGGGTTCTTGGCCAACCCCTGAAAAACAACCCCATAGCATTATCCCTCCTCCACAACACTTTACTGTTGGCACAATGCAGTCAGGCAGGTAACATCTCCTGGCATTTGGCAAACCTCGGACTCGTCCATCAGACTGCCAGATAGAGAAGCATGATTGGTCACTCCATGGAATACGTTTCCACTGCTCCAGAGTCCAGTGGCCGCATGCTTTACACCACTCCATCCGATGCTTCACAGTGTGCTTGGTGATGTAAGGCTTGCATGCAGCTGCTTGGCTATGAAAACTGATGCCATGAAGCTCCCAGTGCACAGTTTTTGTGCTGATGTTAATTCCAGAGGAGGTTAAGAACTCTGCAGTTATTGAGTCAGCAGAGCTTTGGCAACTTTTATGCACTATGTGCCTCATAGTGAGCTCTTTAGAACAACCCATTCTTTCACAAATGTTTGTAAAGCCAGACTGCATTGCTAGGTGCTTGATTTTAAACAACTGTGGCAATGGGACTGAATGAAACACCTGAATTCAATGATTAAGAGGTCTGTCCCAGTACTTTTGTCCATGTAGTGTGTGAGAAGTGTATTATGAATGGCTCTGAATAGAGTTAAATGCAGATTTAGATCTCAGATTCACTCAGCAGCATTGCTAATCTCACATTATCCTATAGCTGTGTTGGCTTTATAAGACTGTCCTAACAGGAGTTCAAACAGAGTTTCCAGCTCGGATCATCTCATCCACTGAATTATGTTCTGGTCATCTCCTTTCTTGTCTGCTGTAGATAATGGAATCGCTATGTTTGATGTCATTGATGATCCTGGTCCAGCCTTTTCTTATACAGTCTGGTAAGCCACAACACCCCTAATCAGATTTCATGTTTTGTTGATTTTAAAGGAAAATAAGTTAACATGTCCACTACAGAGAACACAGTTCTGAACATGTTAATGCGCGTTTACTGCTTACTGAAAATAAATGAACATGTGGCCTGGTCAAAAGTTGTGGCTAATTTTCTATGTACATATTTACGGGGGCAGCTGTGGCCTGGAGGTTAGGGAAACAGCCTTGCAACCGGAAGGTCGCTGGTTTGATCCCCTTAGCCGACAGGACGTGACTGAGGTGCCCTTGAGCAAGACACCTAACCCCCAACTGCTCCTCAGGTGCTGTGGATAGGGCTGCCCACCACTCTGGGCAAGTGTGCTCACTGCCCCTAGTTTGTGTCTTCACTAGTGTGTATGTGGTGTTTCACTGCATGGATGGGTTAGTTTGCGGAGGTGAAATTTCCCTGTTGCGGGATTAATAAGGGTCACTTAATCTGAATGTTTTTCTAATATGTCAAACTCAGCAAATAAATAGAAATTGTACATTTTAGCTGATTTTTTACCTTTATTATCTTATTTTCATTATTTTATTATTTTTTTATTTATTATTATTCATATTCTTATTCTTATGTTAATTATGATTGTTTTACTATTATTTGTCATTTTAATTATTTATTTATTTTTTACTTTTTGATCTTATTCTCCTCTTATTTTATTTTATTTTGATTTAATCTGTTTTTATTCACCTTTGCATTTTAGCTATGTTTTATTTATTGTTTTATATTTTTTATTGTATGTTCATTTTTTTTTATTATTAATGTTTCACTTTTTTATACTTACCTGATTTGAGTCTTTTTTATTTATTAAATTTACTTTTATTATTTGATATGTTTTTTACACATTACCCCTTGCTCTGTGTCTACTCAGCAACATTGTAAATGAGGGTCATCCCTCAATGTTCTGCGAGATTAAATAAGGGTTGATTGTTTGAAATCTGTAGAAAAATGTCATGAGGTGTTCTCTGTAGAGAATGTTTTAACTTATTTTCACTTAGAAAATCCACAGAATATTTGAACAGGGATGTTCAAAACCTTTGCACATGACAGTATACAGTATGTATTTATTTTCATATTATTGTTCCTTGTTTTGAGTTTTTTATCTTACAGAATGTGAATGCACTTATCGTTGGAGAAGTAGATCCTACTGCTGGTCATACTATTGATTGTGAAATGCAATTTACTGTCCAGTGGTGATGGAATTTTTAAACCTCAATTAATCCTTTAATTGTAGTTTTCCAACACATAGACATACACTGTGATTTTGAAAGCATGGGAGCCATCACAGCGTGCCATGATCCACAATTGTGCACATGGAAAGTTAACTTGATGTCATGTCAGAGTAAGTCTCAGTTACTGCTTTATTATTGTGCTTAATTGTACACTTCTTGTTACAAACTTTCAAGATGGGCACTAAACATTTATGATATGCCAACAGTAATGCTCACTGTTTGTCGTATATGTTGAACAGAATTTGATGCCTGTGCTTGCTTTCACCTTCCTGATTCTCCAGCCTTACAAATGCACTGCATTGAAAATGATGTACAAAAAGCTGTGAGCTTCTGTAACTCCAGTAAAGAATGTGGATTCTCAGAGTTTCCAGATGACCTACTGGGTGATGTAGACTGCAGAATCATAAAAGGTATGTTGACCCCTTAAATGGCCAGGGCCCATCGGGAACAGTTCAATCAGTTTGCATTGAAGCCTCTGTAGTTACTGAATAATAAGCCTTAGTATGTAATAAGCCTGGGATTTTAAGGCGTTCAATGTTTATTAATATTCCCTGAGTGCTTAGCATTTGATTTTGCCAATGCACTGCTGTTCTACCCATTTTAAGTAGTTTATCTGAATCCCCTGACTATATAATACAGTGTTTTTCTGGATCATTTTACAGAACTGATTCAAAGTCAGTTGAAAATACACTTTGGAAATAACAGACTAAGATCATTTTGCTTTGAGTGACTCTATACCTTATTTGTGTTTATTGTCACTAAAAATAAAATTAAAATAATAATGTTTCACACTGATTTTCAGACTTTGGGACACACTTAATTCAAAACAATGGGATCTTACTGCTCACCAAGTGGCCATGAAGGACAGGGATGTAGTCTCACTTCCTGCTCTAAAACACTATTTAGTCTATAGACTAAAATTTACATAAACACACCACCAGATTTACCGTGATGCAGTGACTCCGATGTGATGCTTAGTGTGTGTGTTGCGCTGGTACGAGTGGATCAGACACAGCAGTGCTGCTGGAGTTTATAAACACCTCAGTGTCACTGCTGGACTGAGAATAGTCCACCAACCAAAAATATCCAGCCAACGGCGTCCTGTGGGCAGCATCCTGTGACCACTGATGAAGAACTAGAGGATGACTAACACAAACTCTGCAGCAGCAGATGAGCTATCGTCTCTGACTTTACATCTACAAGGTGGACTGACAAGGTAGGAGTGTCTAATAGAGTGGAGAGTGGATCCACTCATACCAGCACAACACACGCTAATACACCACCACCACAGTGTCACCGCAGTACTGAGAATGATCCACCACCCAAATAGTACCTGCTCTGTGGTAGTCGTGTGGTGGTCCTGACAACTGAAGAACAGGGTAAAAGGGGGCTAACAAAGTACGCAGAGAAACAGATGGACTACAGTCTGTAATTGTAGAACTACAAAGTGCACCTGTATGGTAAGAGGAGCTGATAAAATGGACAGTAAGATTTCTTCTTTTTACCCCTACCCCTTGTTTTTGAGTGTCACCCTAACCCCTTGGGTTACATGGAGTTACGAAGGGTAGTGGTTGAAATCTTGCCCTAGGAATTGGGACCCACACAATTAAAAAGAAAAAAATCAGGCTACTAGCGCTGCTCTGTAGGCGACCTGGCCCGGCTTCAGTGATAGCAGAAAAGGGAAAAGTTCAGCTCCTCACTGCTGGGCTTTAGTTACATTTAGGGTAACATATGCAAGAAGGGGTATAAAACAATTATTTATTATTGCCCACCACTAATTCATTGGTGATATGAAGCTAAAGTCGGCTATTCTTGTTCGAATTTTCCCATTCCACCTTAAATGGTGCAGAACTGCTGGACTATCTAAGGTGGAACGGGAAAGTTAGCTGGCTAGCTACTGAAACATTAGCATACTTTCAGCAATTTTTTATGTTTGTTAGGAAGAAAAGGACCATAATACATTGAAACAACATTAAACTAAGATAATACAGTGGTTATCGTAATTGTTTATCACAGAAAATTCTCACATATTGATGGTACATGTCTATGAAAGGTGTAAATTAATGATTGATAGAAGACTGATACAAAATCTGATGTCTGTTTAGGATCTTGATGTAGTTTCTCATTGATTTTCAGTGTGGTTAGTGTTGTTACTGTGTTGTGTTTTGCTTGGCTTTCCAAGTTCTCTACATGATGAAAAAAAAGGTAGCAAATGTTCAGGTATTCAAATAACATGCTTTAGCATCCAGAATTTTTCTCCACAAAAGTTTTTTAGTTTTGTAGTAATGTTTTGTATTATTTTTATTTATTTATTTATTTATTTATTTTTTTTAAATAACTTTATATTTTTTATCTCTTTCTTATTGCTGTGTCTTTTCTGTTCACATTGTAGCATAAAGGGCACTAAACAGGCCTTTCTGCCCTCCTTGGAGTGTGATAGGCCACCTAGAGGCCTGGCTAGGAGTGAAAAAGATTTTATAGTTATGCAATATGTGAAAGCCCACCTACTTTAACATAGATATGGCAATATATAATTTACGAGAAAAAAACATACTTTGTTTTAATAAAATAAATGTATACTAACTTATGCATTTTTCAATATTGCTAGAAGCTCAAATCTATAGTTGAACAACAGTTGTTCTTTAAGAACTGTTGATCACTGACATAGAAGGAGGCGAGTAAGTTCAGAGGAGAAGAGTACTGTGCATTGTTTCTTTTTCTCATCCTCTTTTTCCTTTAGATGATGATGAAGTTCCTAAAATCACCTGCACTCTTCAAATGGGGTGTGGGGATGTGAGGCATATCTGTGTTTCTCCAAAAAACTGTGGATGGAAGCCCAATAAGCGTTTTAAGGAAATCAATGATGCAAGATGTGTTCTCATGTATGATGGTGAGTTCAGTTTCTAAAAAGACTAATCACAGTATTGATTTGTAGAATTTACAAAACATTATTCTCATCTTTTGTGTTACACCCACTCTTGCCCAAATTCAAACAGGCTGGGATTTTTGCGTCCCGTCAAATATGGCTCTAAAAATGAGCCGACCAAAATTTCACTGACAAGTTTTATAATTTGAGCCCCTTTGCCCTCAGACTGTACAAGCCCTGACATTACTTGTACTTAAATTATCAAATTATAATTACTTTTATTTATTTATTTATTGAATTAGTTGCTATTTCTTAATCCAGGCAAGTCATTTGTACTGGTTAAAAATTCATGTACTTCTTTTATTTATTTTATGCTAAAAAAAAATAATAATAACAATAATATTAATAATAAAAAACTCAAATATAAGCAATAAGAAAGTACAGGGCGGGGTCACTCAGAATTCCTACTGTTTATTAGCTCTTATCTTTCCTTCAGATGTTGTTTTCTAACATATTCATATGTTATATATACAGCATAAATATGTATCTGTGTATAATTTCAAGTAACTGAAAAATTGAGTTTCAAAACTTAATTCATTTGAGTTACCACTAATATTTTGAGTAGACTTAACTTTTTTCAGGGTTTACAGTGTGAGGTTTACAGCTGGGGTTCTTTTAGGCAGCCCCTCTTGTGCAATACTGCCACCTGTGGTTCTGTCACACATTAGCACAGAGCTGGAAATCCCACCAATAAAACTCTAAAATCTCTTTAAGAAAGTGTCACATTGGGATCCTTTTGAACAATGACCAAACATTTCATCTTTGGCTTTTCTTTAGGATCAAACTCATTTTAGGTTTAAGTGTGAGTAGATATGAGCAAAATAACACAGTCAAAATAATCACCTATACCAATAATAACATCCATAATAACAGTATGAAATGTTGATAAGAATAATAAGAGGAGGATACGAGGCTTAGATTAGGGTGCTTTTTTCATGGAATGCAACAGATAGAATTCCTCCTTTTACAGATTATCAATTGCATTAAATCTATGTGTGTTGTTTGACATGCACAAAAGGGCCTAGTGGGCAGTGCTGATCTCAGTGTAGCTGAAGATGGTTCTTCTGTTCTGCTCAAATCACCACTTATTATTTTGTCATATGAGTAACTGACCACCACAATTTTCACTCATTCTTATTGCAGCCTTGATTTATGAGGGCCAGTATCTTCACTCCTCAAGCCTAATGAATCCCTCACTGTACTCCCCTTCATTTAGGATGAAGTGACTTTTGATTTTTACTGGATTCACCCCAAGAAGACACATCTGTTTAACTTGTTTGAAATGTCCAGATAGTTACCTAAATTAAAAATAATTATGTAAATTTCTTTGTTTCCTTGTTTGTTTGTTTTTTTTTTCTTTTTCTTTCTTTCTTTCTTTCTTTTAAGTAAGCAAATGCATCACAGCAAATCCAAAACTGAACTTCACAGACCATCTAAACTGCACCATAATACATCCAGGTATGTAAATAAATTACAATGTACATATCACACAGTAACATTCAGAATGCTGAGACTGTTTAAATATAGCACCAAGAACAGTGGTGCACAACTCTGATCCTACAGGGCAGAATTTGGTGATTTACCTACACTCATCTGTTAAGTGCCAGGTTTAGTGGCTGTGTTTGTGTAGGGAGACAAGCAAACTGCACTGGCCAACTATGACTCCCCTGACCTAGAGGAAAAATAATAAAGGAATCTGTTTAGATAAGAAGGAGTTCCTCTCTGTCATGATTTTTGGGAGCAAGTTAAAATGTACAGTCATAGACACCACCATAGTTGTAGTGATTACTTTTCCAAATTTCAGTAATACAAAGATAGCAATTCAAATACTGTATGTACTTTTTTAGAGATGACCATACCAAGCTGAGTGACCATGACTCTGTAAACTGGAATGCTATAGCAAAAAACAAGAAGTGTCCATAGAGCGGACCTTAAAACTCTATAACAAAAATTGTCATGTAATTTGATTGTTCCATTATAGTTCAGAATGCTTTTCCTTCTCCTGCAAAGTTACAGTTTGGAAGATTCAAGACTTTGTTCCAACACTCCTGATATGCAAATTAGTTTAAAATACACGTATTCTGTTTAAAAGTATTTATGTAACATTGGGTGCAATTGTGTATCTCCTGCTCAGGTTTTACTAAAGTCCATTGCAGAAACAGGAGCGATAAGCAGGAAAAACAAGAAGAGCAGATAAGTGTGTTTCCTGGTTGGTATAGTATAGTGGGTAACACCCTTCTGCGCTGTAGACTAGGGTTCAATCCTCTGCCTGGGAAAGCACTCTACACTATACCAATACGAGTTCTTGGGCAAGACTCCTAACGCTACCCTCGCCTACCTGTGTAAAAAATGATCAGATTGTAAGTCACTGTGGATAAGAGCGTCTGCTAAATACCGTAAATGTAAATTTTTCTATCTGTGAAGTGAGCAGAAACTTTCAAACTGCTGAAAATATCTCAACTGATGCTGATAGACAGCGCTGACTGAAGCGAGTTTTACTCACTACAACCCCAAGCCACCTGTTTAATAGATGCAAAAGGAAAGACAAATGATGAGTATGTATGTACAGTCATATGCAATGACTGAACATCTAAAGTACATGCTTTGTTGTTTTCGAAGTGAAAATAAGTTAACACACACTCTACAGGGCACAAATTAAATATGGCATTAACTGTGCAAATTTTGTGAACAATCAATATGTGACGATGGCAAACGGAACCAGACGCTCACAGCAGAGGGCAATCCAAACTCACAGTCAGTATACACAGGCAGAAGGTCAAAAACCAGATATTTAGTACAGAACAAAAGGGCAAGGCTTGAATCGTGGTCACAAACAAAATATGGGTCATACACAAAGAGACAGACAGTGACACAAAGAAAACAGTCACTATGCACATGTGTGACCATACTTCACAGAGATCTAAAGCTAAAGCCTGGGCTTATATACTAAACTAACAAACACTTGTAACAAGAGACAGGTGTGGATAATCAGTAGTCAGGCAAACTTGAATGGGAAAGGTGGATCTGAGAGAGTCCTGAGTCATGTGCTGCAGCGAGGGGTTCTGAGAAACGTAGTTCTGAGCAGCCATGTTGGCTGTAGGCACAGCCAGGTCTGAGGGAGGCGTGACAATATTATTGTATAGTGGAAAAAAATGCACAATATAAAATGTGCCGTAACTTTTTTTTATTTAATGTGTTAAATTGAGCTAATAAACATTAATTATGCTTTAAAATGTGCAGAAGTGTGTTTTCTGTAGAGCAGTGGTCATTAACCCTTCTCCTGGAGATCTACTTTCCTGCGGAGTCCAGGCTGCATCTGCATGCTCCTCCTCCCCCATTACTAAACACTAACGCCAATCAAGGACTTCTGAAGAAGTGAGTTATCTGGAGTAGGTGTGGTAGACTGTGCTTGGAGCTTGACTCTGCAGGAAGGTAGATATCCAGGAACAGGGTTGGTGACCACTGCTCTACCCACCCACATAAAACAGTTTCAGAGTCAGGGAAACTTACTGAGCCAAAACTTACCCAGCATAACCAAAAGCTAGCAAGTAGGTCAGCTGTCAGTAGCTGCCTGTCACCTATTCATTTGTTTATCCATACACCAGCATTGTTCGTTTGTCCGTTCCCTCATTTATGTGCTGCTTCATCTGTCTCTTTGTCCGTCCATCTGTCCATCTGCACATCTGTTCATCCATGACTTTTTTCGTCCAGTTACCATCACATAAAAGCTGGATAATGATTTTAATTCTGTGTGAGTGGTGGAGCAGGCTAGGAGTGTTGGACAGAGAGCTGTCAATCAAGATCCTCATTAGCCACGCCCACTTCCAAGTTCTCAGAAATGTCTGATCAGTGGGTTTTAAGCCACGTTTTATCATATTTATATCTTATATTGTTCATTCAAGCTTTGCTGGATGTTTAATATAAAACTAACCTTTAGTATCATACAAACATTCCTAATGTTTCACTCTGTGTTCTGTGGGACTTCAGGTGAATGAATATAAAAGACTGGATTAATAATGCCTGATAGTTTGTTAGTCATACCTGGAGAACATGAACTGACATGAGAGTTATGAGCGAAGCCCCGAGTTGTATTTGTACTGACCCTGCATTATCAGTACATACCAGTAAAACAAAGCTCCACTATCCTATCTGGGAGGAGGCAAGAGATCAGTTTATAGACATTCATCACCTTTGTAGCTTTTATTTTTTTCCTGAAATGAATATTTTTTTCCTCCAGCAATCATCTCTGGCCTAACTGTATGCATATATTTTGCATTTGTCATGGACCATTGTTTATCTGTTAAGCCATTTAAAGGAGAGTTCCACTGATTTTTTCTGAATTTCTGCATAATTGGCATAATTAACATTGGCATAACAGCACACAATAACAGCCTTTTTTTATTCCTGATCTAACTTACCACAGCAATGAACATCACACAAAGTCATGTGTGTGTGTGTCACTGGGCCTCACTGTGTACAATGCTGTGTCTTTTATTTCTCTTATGATACTTATACTTAAAACACATTAACTAAAATCGCGTAGCTACTCACTCAAATATATCTTTATGCCATTTTTAAGTGATTAGCTGACATGAAACTGAACAACACTGACTGAGGCTGCACTCTGCACAGGTGCCTGTTGATGCCCCTCCAAAAGTCCCACTATCCCCCAGAGCTATGATTCAACTGAATGCACTGAATTTCTGCTTGCCTCACCATCATTGTCACTTATCCAGTTCTTCACAATTTAGTAATCGGCCAGGTGTAAGCCTCATGTCACACTCACAAAGATCTGCACAGCTGTCCATCTTTAATACTGCACACTGACCCCAGACTGAAGACACTGCACACAATGCATTCTGCTTAGCATCACAAATCATTTTGAATTGTTCAGCCTGGCAAGTGCACTGTTTTTCTTTCTTGTGTTGGGGGAATGAAGAACAAATGTTTGCTGAAGTGAAACTTCCACCTTTGGTGTCAACAGTAGGGACACAGGTCGTCTTTAGCGCCTCTGAAAAATACATTCTGAAAAAAGCAGACTGCAACAATTAACGCTTCCTCTAGTTGAGTGTGGTACTTCAGTGTGTTTAATGAAGCAGGATAGCTTAAAATTAAAACCTGCTTTGAAATCCACAAAACATAACAGGAAGTACGGGTCAGTATTTAAGAACCAATGTGACTCAGACAGGTTTAAATGTGGGTTTATAGCTAAGCTAATGACAAAGTATGATTACTCCATAAGGTTTTATTCCAACAGTTATTTATTTATTTATTTATTTATTTGAAATACTTTGAAAATGCCAGTTACACTTTACATTGTGTCATAAGGACCAACAGAATTGCTCCAAGCTTATTTGGAATAAAATGTTCTTGCATTCACGTACATTGAAGGTTAAGATTGTTTGTTTTTTTCTTCTACTGTAAAGTTCTGACAGTGAGGATGAGTATGTTTGTAGTTACTGTTTAGCTACATAAATTTTCCACCCTTTATTTTGGCAGAAGAGAAACAGGGAGACTCACTTCATGGGGATGGATGTGTTACTCCACCCAATAAAGCAGGTGAGCAGAAATAAGCAGGTAAACACTTGATGAGCTTGTTTTCCTGCTGAGTGACAATCATAAGAGGTTTCTCATAAATATAAGCACAAAGAAAGCATACAGAAATATAAGTCTTATCACACTTAATCCGCAATTACACTTTCTGAAAGATATGTTTATGGTGTTGTATTAACAATATGCTACGTTTCAGTATATCTTAAAAACACTTGTCACAAAATCTTCTCCTGGGATTGTGTTTTGGGATTCTGACTCCTCCCCCTCGCTACTCTGTTCAGCTTTATTAGCTAGTTAGTTATAGTGATGGGAATTCCGTCTCTTTTTAGAGAGCCGGTTCTTTTGGCTCGGCTCACTAAAAAGAGCCGACTCTTTCGGCTCCCAAGTGGCTCCTCAGATTTTTTGTTGCTTAAATTAATTTATTACCAAATTATGTGTAAAATGGATTACTAATGTAAAAACATAGATTATATCAAATATTTATTTATATGGCTTTATTTATATACTCAACATGGAACAGAGTGCTACAAAAATAAATTATGAAATACAAAAATCAAAGACCCATCTAAATTAGACAAAAATGTCCAATCTCTGATTGTGTATATTATTTGTAAATTTGTACAGTGAAACAACACAACATCAACAAAACATCACTCAACTTTGCACAGTCTACACTCTGCCATTGAAGTGTCTATCACATTATAATGTGTCCAAACTTTACTACGTTTCCTGTCACTCATTTTCCTCACCTTTCCAGCATGTAGTCTGTCTGACTATGTAAAGCGCTTTATTATTTATTAATAAATAACCATTAGTAATAACCAATATTAATAACCAATATTAATAATAACCATTATTATTTGCAGTTTTCATCCAACACTTGGTTTGGCACAGTATTTCTTTTTAAAGAAACACTTGTCTATCTTTATTGTAATTCATTGTAATGACTGTAAAAACACAATTATTACACAGATAAAATGCTGTATATAATGTACTTAGGTGACTAGGACTTTTGCCCAGGACTGTATAAATTCTGCATAAATATATAAAAGTTATCAGGCTTATATATTGTAAACATTATATATACATCAGTGTAATTTATTCTTTTTTACATTTTAATTATATACATCTTCTTTTCTTTTCAGAGAAAATAGGACCAGCATTTATTGCAAGCATTGCAAGCAATGGAATTCTTGTGATTGTGGTAGTGATTGTGATAGTAAGTAATCAACTTAATATGCTTCAAATATTTGAGAATATTATATGAGAAATGCTCATAAACAGGGATTTCAATTTACACATTTCTGGGATTTGTTATTTCAGCTCATGGGACCAAAACCTATAAAATCTAACATCAAATCTTATATTAATTTTAAAAGTTGCATAACAAACATTACATGCTAGAGTTTGGTACAAACTTATCTGGGTAACGTTTTGACCTGACACCCAGAACAAGATCTATGTATGTGTTCAGTCTGTGTTCTGAAAGTAAAAGAACTAATAAAATAAAATAAAATAAAATAAAAAAATAATAATAATTCAGGCCTTGGATATCTAGAAGGATTGTTGTGATCTATATAACCCCAAATCATTAATTGACATAGTTATAAGCTAAATATATACATATTGCTGTTGTCGGAGCAAAACCTCGTATCTCCGAAATGATAACTTTACAGGAGAAGGAAAAAACCTACTTTACTTTTAATGTAAGTCAATGGAACCAGATTTTTTTCCAAGTCATTTTGGGCCGTTTCTTTTGGGCCATTCATCATGAAATTTACACGCCATGTAAAGGGCAACAGACATTTTCAAATTATGTCAAAAACTGAAAAACGGAGATATGAGGTTTTGTTCCAACAGCAGCGATATCATCATTTATATGGTGCTAGTCTTCTGGGAGGTGTCTGTCCCAAATCCTAACCATTACACTTGTGAAAATAATGCATACATTTTTTGTATTTGTTTTCAATATTGTCTTAAAAAGATATTTTAGATTTCTTTTAAGGTGAAGGATTTTGATTTATTCTAAGTTTATTATTATTATAATATTTATTATATTATCATAATATATTATTGTTATGTCACTATGGAAACACAAAGAGTCTTAGTCTGTAGGTGGAGCCTTATTGTAGCCACACCCCTGCATTTTAGAGCAGGAAATTAGACTGCATCCCTGTCCCTTGGCCACAAGGTGAGCAGTTAGATCTCATTGTTTTGAAGTAAATGTGTCCCAATGTCTGAAAATCAGTGTGTAGCATTAAGAATTGTCACTACTGAAACACATGGTTACTGCAATTAAGTTTTTTTTGTGTGTTTTAATGAAAAATAGTATGACTTTATGTGTATACCACTGTTCAAAGCTGTGTTTGCTAGTCATGTACTGACGAATATTTTTGAGTTCTGCTCAAATTGTCGGTACAAACACAGTCACTACTGAAACCTTTGGTAAAGTTCCCGTAATAATTAATAATATAGTGATGCTTAGGGGCAGCATGGTGGCGCAGTGGGTAGCACTGTTGCCTCACAGCAAGAAGGGCCTGGGTTTGATTCCTGGCCGGGCGACCAGGGTCCCTTCTGTGTGGAGTTTGCATGTTCTCCCTGTGTCTGCGTGGGTTTCCTCCGGGTTCTCCGGTTTCCTCCCACAGTCCAAAGACATGCAGTCAGGCTAATTGGACATGCTAAATTACCCCTAGGTGTGAATGTGTATGTCTGTCTGCCCTGCAATGGACAGGCAACCTGTCCAGGGTGTATCCTGCCTTCTGCCCAATGACAGCGGGGATAGGCTCCAGCGACCCAGAAGGATAAGCGGTATAGATGATGTGTGATGTTTATTGATTTATGTTATTTTTGTAATTATTACCATCCCTGTCATAATATTCTTTTTGTGTGCCTTGTGCTGCCATTATGTGTGTGTGCTGCATTATGTGCAGGTCCGTAATTGGCCACACAGGGGCGCCCTCCTGTATATAAGAGGTCACTGAGTCACTACCAAAGGGGACATTCAGGGCTCTGTCTCCTCTGACATAACCTGAAAGTACACTTGTCCAGACCAGCCAAGCACTGACAAAATGGAATTTTCAATCATTCTGCTTTGAGTCCCTTCCTCTGCTAAATTCATGAAAGCTTTAAAAGCTTATTGGTACGGGGCGAACTCCATTTGTTTTGATGACCATTTTCTCCTGGTTTTAAACTACCCCAACCTTCAGATCAAACATTTAAAAGTGGCAAAAAACCTTTTACAAATTTAACAGAGAAAAGGGAAACGAAGCAGAATGGAGTAAAGAGTGCCAGGCTGGTCTGGACAGATGTACTTCCAGGAAACACCAGAAGGGAGAGAGCCCTGAACGTATCCTCTGGTAGTGACTCGGCAACCTCTTACATGCAGGAGGGCACCCCCATGTGGCCAATCACAGACCTGAACATAATGCAACGTACACAGAGTGAAAACACACACACACACACACACACTTCCACACACACACCTCCACACACACACATGCCCATACTCACACACAAAACGGCAGCACAAGGCACACAAAAGGAACATCATGACAGGGGGTCATAACAATAACAAAAATAAAAATAAATCAATAAACCTCACTGACTGAGTAAACCTGAACCATGGGCTGTTATTAATTTTACAGATTGCTCTGATATGGGTCCACAAAAACCGGGTAAGTCTGAAATTACTGCATGAAGACCCATGATGTCTCTTTATTTCCATTCATTTATTTATTTACATTACCTTCTGTGTAATATAGTACACATCACAGTTTAACCATACTCATCAGAGAAGAGCAGTATATTCTAATTTCTAGATTTATATGAATGTAATCTTCATTTTGTACTAAAATCCCTTACTTACATTTTCTTTCTTTTGAATTTAACTGAATTTAATTTTTCATATCTTTCTTTTCAGAACACTGATGGGCAACCTCAGCAAGGTATGAAAGTTAAAAGAATAATGCTCTGTAATTTAATATTAAATACTGTTATGTACTGTGCCCTTGTTTGTGTGTGAGTTTGTGTGTAATGTTTGTGTGTGTGTGTGTGTGTGTGTGTGTTATGTATAGTACTGTGCACATTATGTAAAACTATTTGTTTGGATAGTAAGCATTTATTTGTTCAATATATATATGAATATATATATATATATATGAATGTCTTGAAATAAACTCAATTTGAGTGTGTTCACTCGAGAAGTTTCAATATTGACAGTTACCATCCAATAGCTACTTTATCTAATTGATCAATTATTAATTACATTAGGTGCTGCTGATGGCATTGAACAATTCTATCCATCCTATATATTAACATTGTCATGTTTTACAGATTTTTTTTGTTTGTTTGTTTTTTTTTACTTGTATTCATTGTAATGTTATATAGTTTATATATATATATATATATATATATATATATATATATATATATATATATATATATATACACCAAAAAAACTGGAGAGATAAACAGTGGTTTAGACAGTTTACATGGCATATCACATTTATAAAGCATTATACAGATAGGTTTTCTTTAAAAATTTGTATGATGAAATCTACATGAACTTATGTTTATGAAATATTAGGTTTTCACTAAGATAGTCGCAACCTTTGAATTCCATTTTGATTTTGACATTTAAACGCAGAACCAATGCCGCTACAATGAGCACCATCACAAAAAGCAGGAGAAGATGCAGTGACGGGTATCTGACTGTCAAAGTCAAAGACAAATCCTACAAAAGCAATGTTGATTTATCCTCCAGCAAAAATCACCAAAAACCAACAAATACCTTAATTTCCACTCTTCCTTCTGTTGGTGCTGTACAATAAAAAAGAACCTGTTTGCATCTTACATAATTTCACAGAGCTCTGTGGAGGTTTGGGTTTGCATATGACAAGTATTAATTAGTATTAATAATTTCATTAATAATTTAATTCAAGAGTTTTAATTTGCATTTGTGGATGCAGTGCCAAACTGTTTTCACAAACAGTGGTTTTCAGAAGTGTTTCTGAGCCCATGCAGTGATTTCCAGTAGAGAATCATGTCTGTTTTTAATGCAGTGCTGTCTGAGGGCCCAAAGATCATGGCCAGCAAATACTGTTTTTCAGCCTTGTCCCTTACATACAGAGAGTTCTCCAGATTCTCTAAATCTTTTAATGATATCATGTACTGTAGATGATGAAAAGCACAAGTTCTTTCCTGTTTTACATTGAGAAACGTTATTCTGGGATAGTTGCATTATTTGCCTTTACAGTCTTTCACAGCGTGGTGAACCCCTCCCCATCTTTACTTCTGAAAGACTCAGCCACTCTGGGATGCTTTTTTATAAGCAATCATGTTACTGACCTGTTGCCAATTAACCACCAGGTGTTTTTTGAAGCATTACACAACTTTACCAGCCTTTAGTGGCCCCCCTCCCAACTTTTTTGGAATGTGTTGTTGGCATCAAATCCAAAATGGGCAAATTGTTTTTTCAAAAAACAATAATATTTCTCAGTTTCAACAGTTGATATGTTGTCTTTGAAGCATTTTCAATGGAATATAGGGTTTAAATGATTTGCACATCATTGCATTTTGTTTTTATTTTTGGAAATGAGGTTGTAGATTCAAAGTAGATTCCACCACTGCCCCTGTAAAACTACTGTGATCCAGGGACTCTGTAAAGCTGTTTAATGTGGCCTAAAACTGTGAAGAGCTCTGATCTCCTACATTGTGTGAAGTTTGCTGTTTAAATTCTAATAATCCATAAATGTGAAGAGGTTTTGGGAGGATGGTATAAGACATTGAAACTACAATTGTGGGGCCCATGTAATATGAACATTTGTGGCCAATCCTGATACTATTGTAGAGGACCAACAATTCTAATAAGATAATTAAAATTATGGTAGCCCTTCAATTCATGGTATAGTAAGCATATAGTATTTAACAGGTAAATATGTAGTATTTAATAATTTTCTGATACATACCTTGCAAGTACATACTTATTGTCAGGTATATACAGCATTACTTCTTCAGAATTTAGTGATAAATATGTACTATTTATAAATAATAAATACTTGGTGCATACTTTGCTAGTTTAATATATAACTACGATAACTAATTTGAGAAAGATTTTCAGCTTTAAATGCTAAGAAGTTACATGATGATGGCAAGTATTACCAAACTACTTCAGGAAATACAT